GCGAAATTCTTTTTGGAGGACAAGATAATACCAACAAATGAATTTAATCACACGGTAATGGACTTTCAAAAGTCAATACTTGGTCTTTTCTCCTCTCTTTAACATAGACCAAAGATACACTATCCTTCCCTCTCCACTAGGTAATGAATTCTACTCACACTCAACAATAGTGGTTCTTCTTACAAATGATAGCCAGACCGGTGTTTTTATATATATATCACCAAAAAGTGCACCTAAAAAAAAAGATCAATGAAGAAGCTATCATCTGGTTTCACTCTGTACATTTTTATGACACTCTCTCATCCGTCAGTCTAATGAAATTCGTTAGAATGAAAGGCCCCAAATATTTCGTAAAACATGTCAGTTTTATGTGTGGAAAATTTCAAAAGAGCACAATACAACCTACGATACATGGACTGTTTCTTGTTATTTCCTCGAATCTAGAAAATGAGTATGAACGTTACGTAAATAATTCTAACACCACAAAATCCAATAAAAGCAGGACTCGAGGCAAAGAAAAAAAATGCCTTTGAAACAAAGTCAGTGGTCTGCCTAAGTTGTAGATATCAATGTTTATCGATATTTCATTTCATACAAAACAGTTCGATGCTTTTATGTGCTTAACGTGCAAAATCCTATTGAGTTTTTTTGATTACTCGGTATGCTGACTAAGACATGCTACAGGATGTTCATTTATATGCCCCCAATATCGGGGATCATACAGTTATAGCTCTCTGATTCGTTGACAGATTGTATCATTGTCCGCAACTTTGCTGCTAAACTTTTAAAATTGCATCTGGACAAGTTTATGACCGAGAGAAGTATGGTGAACACGATCCAAGTTTATTTGGATAAAGTCAAGGTCAAAAGGATTGACATTGTAAAATTCTTATAAATAAATTCTACGTCAGGTCAGAAACATATGACGAAGGAATGTATAAATCTGTGAAGAATATGCGTCTGTATTTTGTCGCCAGTGTGTGGTAATAGCGTTTGTTTAGAGTCGAAGAGTTGGGAGTTGTTCTTTCACAGTAGCACTCGGTACACCTCGGCTGATTACATCAAAGGTTGATGTAGGGTACCGTATTCAGCCGAGGTGAACCGAATGGAAAAGTAGTTCACAATTCAAGTTCAAAGACCGTAGAACAGACAAAAGGGTCTTCTCAAACGTAATGCACTTACACATATTGAACATTAAAAAATTATCATCAACGTAAAACAATTTTGAAAAGTGGGTCACACTTCAAGGTCACAGGGTTAAAAATCATTTGAATGGTCACAGGAAGTGCACATTTGAAATATTAACATCCCGTCTTCTCTCGTTCAAAATTGATCACAATTTTTATATTCTATTCAACAGTGGGTCAAACCTTAAGGTCAATAAGTCACATGGTCAAAAATCTTAAAACACTTAGACAAACACAAAACAAAGACAGGGGAACCGACATAACGATGAAAGTATCTCCCGTGTATTCTAGGTTAAGATAATTAATTGCACGGCTCATGTAAACTGTACATTTATTAATAGTGTTGCATTCCCCTGCGATTTTGCGTTCCATTGCCGCAGAAACAGTGTCATATTCTGACGAAATCTCGACTCGTGATCGGATGGGTAAACTCGGGCATCTCGACCAACATGCAAATTGCAACTGCACTCTATGCATATTTGTTTAAAGATCAGCAAACTATTATCGATTGCTAAGAATGTTTTTGATATTTTGCTCTTTAGAGAGTTATAGTAATTGTAGCATTATGAGGAACGGGATATCAAAAATTGAATCTTTCGTAAAAATGCAGAGGCGTATTCCATAATAATTACTGATTATTAGTCATGATTTTTTAGATGTGCAAATGCTTACCAATTCACATCAAAACAGAGTAGATAGTACATGTATGCTTTGTTAAAAAAGAAACTTTTAATAAAACATCTCTAAACTAGTGCTAGATTTGATTTAAAGAAGCTGACATGAATTTAACAATTAACTAATTGTGCTGCACATGTGTGATATATTGACTATCTTGTCGAGATGGTCTAATGTTTTGGGATTTCACCCCACCCCTCATCCCCTCCCAGTTACCCGACCAGACAGACATAGTCATTGTCTCTTCAAGTTTGCAACGGGATAAACTACTGGTATATTGTTGAAAAAAGTTTTTTTCGGATCGAGTTTGAAAAACGCCTTCATAGATTCTTGGTAAATAATAATGAGAATCATATGCTTCAAGTAAAGCGACATGTCCTTCTTATGTTCTTCTACATCCCCAAACCTTTCTTGTCAAAAAATTCCAAGACGGATTTTTCAAAACCCCGCTTGAAAAGCAGAGGGTATCTATTGATGTGGGTGTCCGTCCGTCTGTCTATACGTCCGTCCGTCCGTTACGCTTTGGGATACCCATCTCTTATCTTTTTTCACATAGTGCCATTGTGCAGCTCCTGTTTCACTTTTTGATCGGACACAATTTCGCGTTTCCCATAGCAAAACATGCCATGGACACTGCCATTCTTTCTATAATATTGATGGATCCCTTACACGCAAATCCTATACCAATGAATGAAATTTAATGATACTCTCACCGATTCTTCACTACACGGTGCCATTGTGACTTTCTATTTTACCTTTTTATCTTACACTTATTCTCATTTCTTATTCACAATTAATCTCCAATAGCAAAACACCGACTTTGTCATTATAATCATTTGGGGCAGGGGTCATTTTGTGAGCTCGGTGCTCAGAGTACCTCTAGTGTAGTGTTTGTGGTGGATTGGACCTCCTTAGGAAAGAAATCGGTATCTGCATATACTATGGTAGACAAATGAAAAAAAATTACTTGCAAATAAAAGGGGTTGTCTGTAAGTAACTACCTGTATTAACAGACTGTTCAATTACATGTATATTCAAATTTTCTTCGGGAAAGTACTGGACAAATGCTGGGCAAAAAGTTTCCGAACACAAGTACACTAGAATTTTTTGTTTGAAACGATACTTATTGCATATTTTATTTAATAAGTACCATCTGGAAACCAAAGAACACATGCTTTATAGCTATTGGAAGCAGAGTGACCATCTATTGAATCTACTATAGGGCCTACCAATGTCAAGCATACTTTGGAGAAAAAGATACGTGACGTGTATCCTTATGAAAGGTTTTGCGTCTATCCTCAAACCAAATGCAAGATATGCATGCAAACTGGGTCAGCAGTTTCTTTCCCAATTTTTTTTTCTTACAGAGGAGCACCTCCACCTACCCCCTCCTTTCAAGTATCTCCAGCAAGTCGAGGTAAACCAACACCTTGGCCATATCCTTACACAAACTTACGACGAAGGCATATGTGTTTGAAAATGAATGTAGATTTGAACACTCAGAATGATACACACTACTCAGTTTAAATATCCCAAATCTAGACTGAAAAGAAGTTTTATCAAACAACCTAGTACTTTTTGTTAATATAACCGAAACAAATTCATTTAAGTCAGGGAGTCCTGAACACAACCTCATGGGTCCTGAGTCAACACGTTGGCCGTTGGTCGGCTTAGAGCCCCTTGCGTTGTAAGGAAGGGTAAAATTTAACCCCCCACCCCACCCCAAGTTTTTCCATTGGATGTATAAAATAATTTAAAAAAAACCAACCTAGGTTTGTATTTTTTCTATTACCTATAAATGTAAAGATAAATTTGTTTTTTTTTTTTTATAAAAGTAACTTATAATTTATTTTGGTTTTTCCCCCAAATTCGTTAGCAAACACAGGCACCTGACCATGCTGACGTTACTTATTTTTCTTTTAATAAAAAAAAAAATTATACACATACCTGTTTATTATTAGGTATGTGTATATATTTTTTTTATTAAAGGAAAATAAGAAACGTCAGGTGCCTGTGTTAGCAAAATATATTTTCTTCTGAAACGAAGGTCAAGGTCCATAACTCTAGTATACTCTCCTGCGAAAGGAGGTAGAATATTCTAGTTTCGTTTATCGAAATACGTGAGTCGTGACTAACGTGTATTTTATTTTTGCAGACAGCTTGAGGTAAGGTTATTGTACAGTAATTGGAAGTTTATAATACATAGAAAAGTCGTTCATTAAATAAATTTTTTGTTCTGATAATTAAAAAAAGAGTAATGCAGTCCCATGAATTCAATACGACGAAAAGTAAATATTTATCGAATATGTCCGCTTTGCAGATTTACAGTTCTTCTTCCCTTTATGGAGAGTACTCAAAATGAGTGTCAATACTCCAGTAATTCTGTGGTGAACAGTTATAAACCTATGTACATTCGTATTAAAAGAGGTAAAAAGTTAAAACTGGACAGTTTAATGGTGTAAAGTGACTAGAATCTCAGACACGCTGATGGCCTGAATGTGTCCACTGATGGTGAATTCCTGATTGTGGCTGGTATATTTTTCCATGCTATGATAGTTGCTGGTATGAATGAGTATTTGTGGACATCAACCCTGTTGCTGATTTGGCAGATTTTGTTTGCCATAGAACCATGAGTTCTGCTGTTGGTGATATGTAGCACATGATGTACTGGAACTTCCACAGTGTGATGGTAAATTTTGTAGAACATGATCACACGGTTCCGGGCCCTCTGATGTTCTAATGGTTCCCAGCCGAGTTGGTTTAGCATGGTGGTCACACTTCCAGGGTCCCTTGACGAGTAATCACCACTGGTGAACCTTGCTGCCCGGCGTTGATAATGTCATTCAGGTATTGTTGGTAAGCAAGGCAAATAGTAAGCTGGCACTCTGACTTAAGAGACAGGTACCTTTGCTGGTCACGCTGCTTCTTTGTCTGCTTGGCCTTTTGCAATGCACGTAATTTCCTGCGTGCTATACGTGTGCTAGCTGTGTTGATCCAAGTGTTACATTTCCTGGATCATGTGACCTTGTGAGGAACATGTTGGGTCATGATGCTAAGTGTAGTGTCTCTGAAAAGGTCCCAGTGAGTGTCAACAGAAGTGAAGTTAATCTTAGGATATGAAACATTTTATTGGATTGTTATCTTTGTTGTTTATTTTCAGATATGGTACGAGTATTGTTTCTGCATCCAGATTTGGGAATTGGAGGCGCTGAACGTGCTGTAATAGATGCGGCACTGGCACTGAAATCAAAAGGCCACCAAGTGCAATTTGTGACTGCCCATCATGACCCTTCACACTGTTTTCAAGAGACCAAGGATGGAACTTTAAAAGTTACATGTGTTGGAGACTGGCTTCCACGGAAACTCTTTGGCAGATTCTATGCACTGTGTGCTTACATTAGAATGATATATGCAGCACTGTATGTTGTTCTTAACCCCTTTCTGCAAATTGATGTTGTTTTCTGTGACCAAATATCTGCATGTATTCCAGTACTCTTACTATCCCCTGTCAGAATTTTGTTTTACTGTCATTTTCCTGATATGCTTCTTACCAAAAGACAAAGTTTTTTGAAGACATTGTACAGAAAACCTATTGACAAGCTGGAAGAGTGGACTACTGGTCTGGCCCACAAAGTTCTTGTGAATAGTCATTTTACAGGTATTTTTGGGCTTGATAGTTCAGTTCTTAGTTCAGTTATTATTCATAAGAGAACAACTTCAATTAAGGACATAGGCAATATACCTTACCTACTGATAATTTTTCATGATACATGTATTCCTCAATTAAGATTATAGCGTCATCATAGACAAAAAAATCAGCATGCGATACCAGGGTTTTTTGAAAGATATTAATTGATGGAAATTCTTGGATGATTCAAAGAAAAATACATCAAAAATACTAAACATATATTATAGTTGTTTCTTTTATCAAAATTTGTTTTAGAAGAAGTGTACAACACCATATATAGACATTAAAATTTAGCACACAGTTCCTTCAAGAATTGGAACTCTTCAACTCCATGGAAAAAGACAAAAATGTCTAAACTACGTTGCATATGTCCTTAAAAAATCTGTTTTTCTAACCCCAATTTCTGAATGTTTTTGAATTACTTTTTTCAGCCGGGATATTTAAGGATACTTTCAAGTCACTGAGTCATGTGCAGCCTGCAGTTTTGTACCCAATACCTGACTTCAATGCCCTGAAAAAACCAGTGGACATGGCATTTATGGCAGTTCTTCCTCAAAAGCCTGTCTCATTCCTTTCCATCAATAGATATGAAAGAAAAAAGAATATTTCCCTTGCAGTAATGGCTTTTGGTAAGTTTAAATACCATGGATCAACCCATTCTATGTAATGATGATTCAGTATTCTTACACAAAGTGAAGGACATGTTGCCATTTTTTTTAATTTACATGTATTTTTAACTATTTGTATTTGACATTGTAGATCTTCTGGTAGAGAAGCATGGAAACTCCAATTGTCAACTCATAATTGCTGGAGGTTATGATGAAAGGGTGACAGAAAACAGGGAATACTACCAAGAACTGAAAAACCTTGTCGACAAAATGGGGCTCACAGAAAATGTTACTTTTCTCAGATCATTTTCTGATGCCCAGAAACGTTCCTTACTGTCCTTTGCCACATGTTTACTGTACACACCGGAATATGAACATTTTGGAATTGTACCCATTGAGGCCATGTATTTACAATGTCCAGTCATTGCTACTAACAGTGGGGGGCCGCTGGAAACTATTGCAGATGGGGAAACAGGCTTCTTGTGTGATCCTGCACCTGATGTATTTTGTGAGGCCATGAGTAAATTTCTGACCAATGAAAACTTGCACAAGAAGATGGGAGAGGCTGGGAAAAAGAGAGTGACAGAAAAATTCTCTTTTGAACAGTTTACAGAGCAGCTTTGCAATATTGTTGAAGATCTGATGCAAGACAAATCTCACAATATTTCCCCCATCTGGATTTTGACAATCATTTCTATTGTTGTCATATTATTCATTGCTATTTTTCCTTGGTTTTAACTTTAAATGAAATGATTGACAATAAGATCTTACCACAAAAGTACGTTGACTGGTTGAAGGCAATAGTTGATGTGTCAGACGGGGGTGTAAATGTTGTCCATGGCAGAAGGCCATGGGCAACAGTTTGTTCTTAAATCCAACGGATCAGCCTTCACCTCAGACCTCTTTCAACAACTATTTTGTTATATCCATATGAAGAATGAAATCTGAGAGTGTTAATCCAGGACTATGATTTATCTGTTCCACTGCAGCAAAGAAAACACAACATTCTTCTGCAATCTCAAACTCTGCATTATTTCAAAATTGTGCTTTTATTTTTAATATATTAATTTTTTTGTATTGTGGAAATCATAGATTTTCTCAATCTGAACCTCATATCTTTTATGTATTTCAAACTTTAATTCAAAGAAATATATGGGACACATGTTTGTTCATGTAGTTAGTAGCCAGTACGAATGAAAATATATATAAGTGTACACATTTTACTTTTCTCTTTAAAACTGTTTCTGCAAGTGTACTTTTTTTTTTTTCTAAAGAGACTGAAAATAAATGAATGAAATGACATTTTATTGAAATGTAAGATTTATGAACTCAATTTAAATAGAAATTCAGGAAATATATACATATGATTTCCTTATATTCACTTCACTCCTCATGTCATTATTGGAGGTGAATGCTTCACTTCTCGTGTTTTTAATAGTGGAGACAAACATTTCACTACTTATGTTCCCATAAAAATTGTAAAACACAGTATCACCCTGCTGCCTTGTTTTCAGTCATTCATGTTTTGGATCATTGGAACCTGACAAAAAATTGACTTGTCTGCATTCCAGTGAAAATTCCCAATTTTCTATTATCACCAAAAACAAGAAATTATAAATTTCATTCATTTTCACATCCATTCACGGAGAATTCAGCTTAGTGTTGTAGACTGACCTGCAGCCTGTCTTATGAGTTTACCGGTGAATTTGAATCAGACTTTGGGTTTCTTCCAGACAGGTTCATCTTCATCTTCCTCCTCCTCCTTCTCTTCCTCCTGGAAGAGTTTCTCAGGCTGGGTCCTGTTGTAGTAATTGGAAAAATTTCAATTTATAGAAAAAGGCAAAGAGTTCATGATTAAGGTAAATACTCAATCACTAAGATTTTAAAGTTAATGTTTTAAAGTATAATTACATGGAATGATTTACAACAAACATTTTAAACAGAGATCATGACCTCGTTGTAAGAGTCGATACACACATCAATAAAAATAAGATGAACATACTTTTTGTAAGCAGGATCAATCCAGAATGGATTTTCTGCTGCCTCTTTGGCATGTCTTAAAATGGCTGCCCTGGGGTCGTTTTCGTATTTGTCAGGTTTCCTCTTCACCAGACTCTGAGCCACATACTGAGCCAGTGTAGCTCCCTTCATACCGATCCGACCACCCTCACCTAAAACAGAGGCTCTCATTGTATACATCAGCTTGTATTAATCACAAAAGCCATATACTGTATACAGGGAAATTTTCGCCCCCGTTTTATTTTCGCCCCTTTTGCCCTCTTCTTGATTGGGTGAATTTAAAATGGGGCGAATTCAAATTACACAGTATAATGTCTTAAACAGAACTATGACGGGGCGAATTTAAAATGGGGCAAAATTGTTTGCAAGTACAAAAGGGCGAAAATAACACGGGGCGAAAATAACCCTGTATACAGTATTCAGTTAAAAGATATTAATTCACCTAAAACAGAGTATCTCATTGTAAACATCTACTGGTATTTATTACAAAAGCCATACATTTAGTTGAAAGATAATAATTAGTAAGATTATAGGAACATTAAAATATAGGTTCCTTGTACTGTTCCTTGGTCACAACCAGATATCCGAATGTGTTCTTACCTGGTCCTGTGATGGGTAAATCTGGACGTTTCGATTTAATGGGATCCTTTCGGACTTTCTCTTCGAATTTCTTTGTACTTGTGGTTTTGTTTTCTTTGAACATTGGCAATGCATATGCTGCAAGAACAAACATTGTTTTGATATTCTCATATTTCAAATCTATTCCATATGTTAAATTAGTGCAAAATAGCTGTGCTTTAATGGCAACAGACTTACGTGTGATGATTTGCTGTGATGCCATAGCCAGCACCTGCTTGGATTTTCTGGGTTGCTTCACCATACAAAGCATAGCTCCCCTGTTAAAACAAATTCAATAATGTGATATTTAATGAGTTAAATATTTTTAGTGTACTTTTATGATATTCTACCTTTTGAACTACATGTATGCGCATAAATTTGTGTTTATGATAATGCAGTACATGTATAACACTAAAACCATATTATTTTGGACTTTTGCAAGGAGCGCTGACTTTTACAGTTCATGAGTTGACGACTTACTTTTACACTAGGACAATGTATGGAAGTCTTTATAATATAAATATTTAGCTCAGCATATAATTTATATAATATAACGGATTATTTCAATGCACATATAAGTTGTCCTTGAAGAAAACGACAACCACTCTACCCTCAACACCCGGCCTCTGCATGCAAGTGCCCCAACACTAAACCTTTGATCATGAGAAAGGTTTTCTTATTTGTTATCAATTCTGTACCTCCCTACATATACAGGTTTAAATGTCCAAGTAAACCATCAACTGTAAAAGTCGGTGCTTCTCTCAAAAGTCCTTTAGTGGTAATCAACTTGTATAATCATTGAAGATTATGTTTGAGCTAAATTTTTAGTACATTTAATAATGTACATCTACAGTAGCTCTTGCTTTACCTATGACTCTTGTCTGGATCATAAAACAGGCGAGCCTTCCCGTCACTACAGCCAATCACAATCTGGTTTAGTTTCGGATGCCATATACAGCGTACAACACTCTGTGTAAATAAGACGACAAAGAATTAACAATCTGAACAAAAAACATTCAGATCTATTAAATAATCCATAATTTTATTAACAAATAAATTTTTCAATATAAAAATATATAAAAAATATATAATATAATAAAAGATGTTTCATTTTTAATTTGTTCAAGGGAAAGATAACTGAGGTAAGAAGTCTTACGGATTCGTTCACAGCGATTTCTGACACTGTGTTTAAGGACTCACGCTCCATAAAGATAAGCTTTCCGTCTCCCTGCTTCTTTACTGAGGTTCCTGTTAATACCATTCTGTCATCAGGACTGAAGATGCAGTCAGTTCTAAAATAGACACATTCATTAACTTCTTAATACATGTATCAGTTTTTGTTAAAATAAATGCATTCTTAAGTATAGAGAAGATCTTTAACATTTTTTTTTCAAATCTTACTTACACTGGATAGTAGCTGACCAAATTTTCTCGTACTTTTAATGGTTTCTTGAAATTCCTTATGTCCCATAATTTAAGTGTGTCATCACCTAAAAATTAAAGTGACAATATGGCGCATCTCTTCAAAAACAGACCTGTTAAAATTTTCCTATAGGATTTGGAATTTTTTTCATACTCATAAATATATACATGTACACTTTCAGAAAATTACTAGTTTCATAAGTAAATAATTCTAATTATTTCATTAAAATTAATAATCATTTATGGTACATAAATATATACATCGCAACGTGTTCGAGGCTCCACATTCCATGCTATACACGCATGCGTATAGTTTTCATAAACAAAACAGCATGGTAAGAGAGGGAAGCCCGGTAGGCCTGCTACAATGACAAAGTCGACCAAAACGAAACCAAAAATAGGGCTTGAAATTAAAAAGCAACTTTCCTGACAAAAATTTAGTTGTGAGATTAATATAATCATTGGTTGAAGAAGAAACGGGATCTCGTCGACATTCACATGGGGCTCGCGAAGGTTCTACCCTACACATTTGTTGATACATGTACATATATGCTATCATTTCTCATTTTTACTCAACATAAAAATGAACTTATGACATATAAAAATTATTGCCATTTGAAGTGCAAATTGTATTGGATGCAGAAAGATATTTTGTTTGACATTTTGTCACGATGACGTATGATTTGGTGGATTTTCCTTTCCTGCACCCCAATATACAAAACGTCAACATTGTACTTAATCGTGTTAAATTCATCTGAATGCAGACTAAAATGTTAACTATTATAATTTACTGGAGAGTTATGATATTTTGATTCTGAGAATTGCTTTTACTTAATATTCCATTATAATTGTAATTCCTACATTGTATGCACGTGCCAAGACTTCTGATTTCTTGTGGCGTAATCCAAATGATCTTGAAAAAGGACAAAGGAAACCCTCTGATCTACATACATGTACTGTGGGTCATCAAACCCCAAGAATAAAGTCTCCATGTATCTTACTTCAAAAACCATGAGGAAAGTAAATATACCTCTGACCCTCAAATTCTAGGGCATTCAATAATTTTTGTATCTATTTAAAAACTGAATCATTAATAAAAACTTTAAATGGAGTAAATTTGAAATAGAAAGATCTGCAATTTACCTCCTCTAGAAGCCAGACATTGTCCATCATATGAGAAACACAAACAGGAAGTATCTGTACCATTCATATGACATCCTCTGTTTAGGAGGGCCACATTTACCTGTCAATGTCAAATTACATGTATAATAAAAATTAAATACATCTAAAAAAAAATTTCATGTGGCAAGTCTACAACTCATGTATTAGAATTGGGGGGGGGGGGGGATATAAATGAAAGCTTTTGTAGACATGGACATATTTACTTTGAAATAATTTTTTGTTGGGTGTAATATACATGTAAATTTGACTCCCCCCTCCAAAAAAATTAAATTCAAAAAGTGGTTCTTTTTTTTTTTTAAAAATAAATATTATTCATCAATATCAGACCTATAACCTCTTTATAATTTAATATACATGTCAGAGTTATCTTTTAGCAACTACAGATATTTAATAAAACATTCACAGTAAGGTGTTATAAAACTTTCTTACAAAGTTTTTATTATGATCCCAGATTTGAATTGATCCATCCTGACACCCTGCTGCCACCCAGCGACCATCATTACTGTAGGTACAGGCCGTGGGGACAAGTTTCCTCCCTTGCTGAGACTTTGGTTTTATACAGTTTTTGTGTTTCTTTCCCTCTGTGTTTACATCCCACAATCTCACTGTACTATAAATAGAATAAACAAAAACATTTTTTTCCATTTCCACAAAATGTTAATTCTGAGCTAGTAAGTATGAGCATGTATTAAAAAAATTTTTGTCTGCAAGCTTGTCAGTGTCTTTCATTAAATGTTCATGTATTTACTAAAAGGGGAAATCACACACCCATCATTGGAACATGTCATGAATTCTTCTTTCATCTTCGGATTCCAGCAACCTCCATTTAACATAGCTGTGTGTCCCTGCAAGACAAACAAATTCAGTCAAAAAGTGTCACAAATAATTTTAAAATTAAGCAATTAAAAGGGGGATGACATTTCCAAGAATTTAATTTTGTTTTAAGTTACATGTATTGATTAGATTTCTGACTGCCAACTTCAAACTAACACAAAACATTGCTCTAAGAATTAAAAAACTTTAATGTCCATTTAAGCTTATATACTTATCTATCATGAAAGGGAAGCTATTGAATTACTCTTGTAAAATGTAGAATTCAAAGTTCATTTGGAGAAATTTTCTTTAAACTGCATCAAAATTCTACCTTGGTACTAGCCATATCCACTAAATAGGGGTCTCCTTTAGCACACTCAAGCTTCTCAAAACCATCACGGTCCATGACTTTGGCACGGGAATTAGCTGCTACTATCAGTATCATTTCACCTGTGGCACTATACTGCAGCTGCTTTATGTGATGACTGCATTTAAAATGATGATTTTATTGTTAATAAATTTTACCAGTAACTTTGGATTCAAATATTTTGAAATCTTATTCATACAACTTTAATTAGTTCCACAGTTATAATGAACACTAAATGAATTCCAGTAAAAGAATTTTTAGGAATTGTTTATTGAATTAAGGCGAGACTTTCACCTTTCACATGGCTTTATGTTCCTGAATGACTGTAAACTCTGATCCATCCCAGCAAAATCCCAGAACTTGACAATGAAGTCATGTCCACCCGTTACAAGCCGAGCCCCTGCAGGATCCAGGGCTAAAGCAGACACCTACAATTATAATGTTTCTGAAGAGATATCTTGAAATTACAATGTCCACTATTACAATTTTATATGTAAAATATTTTTATATGTTATATTTTATATTGTCAAATGTTTGCTAATAATACTTTATGTAAAAGAAAAGAAAATCTTACAGCTTTGGATCCATGGTCAAGAGATATCTCATGAGAAGAAGGGATTTTCTTATCTAAGGTCTGAAAAGAAAAGAAAACAAAATAAGATAAAAACCAAGGTTATGGGTTATTATTGTACTTAGCCTTCTCTTTTAGTACTATTCCTCTTAAATGGAACTCTTGAATTGAATTCAAAATCCTCTTGAATGGAACATGGTCCTTTTCAAAAAAACAGGCCCAGATGTATTCTCTTTTTTTTCTATTTTACAACACTCTTCATAAAGAGAAGGAAAAAAAATCAAGATTTTTGTCATACATCTGATATTCTCTCACAATGCGATAGAATATAAGAACTATATGCGGTATATTGCATATGTTTGCCCCCACAGAAGTCAAATTTTGAAAACTTCCTGAAATGTGCTGAATTCAATAAATTGTACGAGAAATATAAGTTAACAGAAAATATTATAGTTCCAGAGCAGCGTATTCACAATTTCTGTTTTTATGACGTCACAAACTAGTCCGATTTTATATCCTTTTTCAGAAAGAGGACAAAATGGACAAAATTTCAACAATTTAAGCTTTAAAATTTATAGAGCGCATGTGTGTTCAGGAACAATATTGACATATTTCATTGATATTATCATTCTACACATTATATCAAAATATTTATCCTGAACACACATGCGCTCGGTGACTTTTATTTAAAATATCGACGAAATATGTACATTTTTCTGCAAAATTCATAAAAAACTGAAATTACGTCATATTTGTGACGTCATTACGTACATATGACGTCATTACTTATGAAATTATTTAGTGCTTTGAAGTCAGCATATACTCCCCTGTTTAAGGACTTAATTAAATGTTACTCCATCAAAGTTTGATTTTTGGGGGCAAATGTTGGTTAATACCACATATAGTTCTTTGATTGGCTTTCACACTGTAAAAGATATCACTTTCATTCAATAAATAAATCACAGTATTTCACTGTTGAAAAGGTAATAAAGTCCTATATTTACCTCTTCTTCCTCCTCTTCATCTTCTTCATCATCTGAATCTTTTGATGAGGACAAACCAGGAGGTAATGGAGGACCTATCATGTCATCATCATCATCTGTATCTTTTTTGGATCCTTTGGCTATACCTGGAGGAAGTGGGGGTCCTATCATATCTTCCTCATCACTACTTTTGTCAGATGGCTTAGAATTTTTTGAAATTTGAGTTTTGGAAGATTCAGTTTCTTCAGCAGATTTATGAGCCACAGCAGCTGGTGGAGGTGGGCCTATGATGTCTTCATTATCGTTTTCCGTACTATGTTTGTCATCCTCAAATTTTCCTAAAAATAGCATTCTTTGTAAATTTCTGGGTTTAAAATAATAAAGAATATAGCAAGAATAGAGATTTTAGATATTATACCTTGGTTACGCTCTAAGGCAGTTTGTCTGGCTTCTTTAAACATGTCCATAAAATCAAAAGTACGAGCCTTCTTCTTAGATCCTTTAATATAATAAATTAGATTAAAACACAAGTTTATGGTTGTGTAAACCTAAGGATTATTAACATTATTATGCATTGCACAGTTGTTGTAAATTCAGTTAAGACAGTGACATATAAACTTGTTATACATCACTGGTTAAAAAAGTATTATCTTAATCTATTCAATATTTAAAAGTTTTAACAGGTTGGGCACAGTTCCTTTTTCGGGGAAGTATTACTGTAAAAGGGAACTATTACTCTTTTCAGTAATAAAAAACATTACTGAATTCGGGAATTTTTACTCATTTAGCCTCTATTCTTGTGTTTGTTTTGAATAAAAGATAAAGTGCAAGAATATTTTCACATCCTCTAAATATTTATTGTCTATTACGTGTATGTGTGCTCAAAACTGCAATATTTATTGCTGCAAAAAGCTGAAAAAGAGTGATGAAATATTTCTATGCTATAGATTTCTTACGGTAGCTTACCTGTGTTAAAATTGTGATAATGGATACGTTCAGCACTTGCTTACTCGTTCATGAGATTATTCGTTCTAATTTAATTTAATACTATTTCTTTAAATGAAATCATAATAATAATTTTAAATATCATTGCTTCTTTTACAGATGAAAATAATTATTTGAAATATTAAATTTCAAACGACATTCTTTTAAAATTGTCCTGGAATGAATGTCCGTATTAGATTCCATACTTTTGGTACCATTATCAACAGGGAAAATTATTAAATCTCATTTTACTCTTGTCTGCAGCAATGGAGGTCCAAATTTTTCAGTCAGCGAGGTTTGTTTGATAAAGATAAAATACATCACACTGTATTTTTTATGCACTTTTTATTTAATGAGTGGATTAGAGGCATTATTAAAAAATGTGACAAAAATTCCCCAATTGAGTAATGTTTTTATTACTGAAAAGAGTAATAGTTCCCTTTTGTAGTAATACTTCCCCGAAAAAGGAACTGTGCCCAACCTGTTTAAGAACTTTAGATCTAAAGCCTATCCGAAAGTATTTTTTTTTTAAATTAGACAAACCATCATTGGTTTTATCAGTCATATCCAATGCCAATGAACACTTTCAACTGTGAACTTTAAGTGAAAATCGGTCGAACTCTTCAATCAAATGTAACATCTGCAAAAGAAAGTCGAAAGTTTAGTAATTTACTTATATCGTTCGAATTTCCTCCATACTAAATAATTGCACGGTTTCTCCTGTATTCCTGCACGTGTGTTAAGCATTCGAGTGCAATTATAAATATTCAAATCGACTTATAAGTCTCACAGAACCTTAAATTTTAAATAATTACCTGCTAGATTTGTCGTAATCTTTAAGCATGTTATAATGGTGCGATCAATCGTTGTTTTCTACCGGAAGTGTAATTTCTCATGAGTGAATTGATCCATAAATTATTCGATTCGATTCTCTCAAATATCCAGAAATTCCCGAAAATTGAAAAAAACTTTATAAAACAAGGAGAAAATGTATTATTACGCCTTCTAAGGCGTATCATCGCAAAATGGAGAGGGTCGTTTAATCTCATTCGTCTAGCAATCTGTCCGTCTTTCACCAAAACTTTCAATGGTGAAAACTTATGACGATAACGTAAGGGGGTTGGGTTCTCTAAATTTGCTTTTTTGTCCACCCTTTCGCGAAAGCGAGGGGACATTAAATCTTATTCGTCCGTCCGTCTGTCCGTCTGCCACAAAAACTTTAACCTTGCGTGGTTATAATTTTTGAATGAGAAGAGTTTTCATATTTCACATTACTATTTATACCTGTGGCAAGATCTTTCCAAATATGCCATTATTTTTTATCCCTCGACCTTGAAGTTTGACCTACTTTACTGAAAAAAAAACAAGATGTGCTCAAAGTAGGGTATTCTCACTGGAAATACAATTGTGAAATATAAAAGTAGGCTAAGGTTAAAGTTTTTTTTTTCAAAAGTACGGAAATCTCTAAGGTCAAGGTCAAAAGGTCAAGGTAATTGGCCTTTTGAAATTGGCCAATGAAAGGTCTTGCGACAAAGAATACATTTTTGTAGCATGGAAGCCCTAGCCCTAACCCTTTAAAAGTTATGGCCAAGGTTAAATTTTTTTTAAAGTAGGTCAAACTCCTAGGTCAAGGTCAAAGAGTCAAAATTCCTGATATCACATGCAAGGTCTTATCACTGGGATTAATTATGAATAGTGTGAAAGCATTAGCCTTACTCCTCAAAATTTATGGTCAAGTTTTTTTTCAAAGTATGTCAAACTCCAAGGGCATGATCAAAGGATCAAAGCTCTTGGTATCCAATGAAGAATCTTCTCATAAGGATTACATATGTGAAGTACGAGAGAACTAGCCCTTTGCGTTCAAAAGTTATGGCCAAGATTAAAGTTTTTTCCTTAGTACCTAAATCTCTCTAAGGTCAAAAGGTCAAGGTAATTGGTATCCAATGGAAGGCCTTGCCACAAAGAATACATATGTGAAGTATGGAAGCCCTAGTCCCCACCCTTTAAAAGTTATGGCCAAGGTTAAAAATTCTAAAAAGTAGGTCAAATCCCAAGGTCAAAGGGTCAAAGCTCTTGATATCAAATGAAAGGTCTTGTCACAAGGATTAAATATGTAAAGTATGAAAGCACTACCTCAAACTTTTCAAAGTACTTGGTATCCAATGAAAGGTCTTCTCACAGGGATTGCACATGTAAAGTATAAAAGCACTAGCCCTAACAATTCAAAAGTTACGATCAAGGTTAAAGATTTTTTTCATAGTACGGAAATCTCCAAGGTCAAAAGGTCAAAGTTGTTGGTACTCAATGAAAGGTCCGTTCACAAGGAATACATGTATAAAGTATTAAAGTCCTGGTATCTACTGTTCAAAAGATATGGCCAAAGTAATAGTTTGGAATTTTTGTGTTACAGTGGATCAAACTCCAAGGTCAAGGTCAAAAGGTCAAATTTAGTGGTACCCAAAGAAAGGTCTTGTCACAAGGAATACACATGTGAAATATGAAAATCGTAGCTCCACAAAATCAAAAACTATGGGCAAGGTAAAAGTTTTTGCAAACAAACAGACAGACAGACAGGTTTACGGGGGCATAAAAAACAAAAAAGAATACATTACTTTAAATTGGTCATACATGTAACTTTTGAAAGAGAAAAGATAGGTTTTTCATAATATGACACATACATATCCTTTCTAATTATACTTTGATGTTTGATCCTGGGACCTTGACCATGAGGGTTGACCTACATTTCAAAAATGCTATTTTTCCTTTTTACATTTGATTGAGAAGAGATATATCTTTCATATTTGACAATCAGACATGTGCATTACCTGTGATAAGATGTTTCCGAGGATGCCTTGACCTTCATGCATGTTTGAACTACTTTTCAAAAAATATTTTTATGCCCCCTTAAACGAAGTTTCGGGGTATTTTTATGCCCCCGTAAATGAAGTTTCATGGGTATATAGTTTTTGTCGTGTCCGTCCGTCTGTCTCTCTCTCTGTCTGTTTGTCTACAAAAACTTTAACCTTGCCCATGACTTTTGATTTAGTAGAGCTTTGACTTTCATATTTCACATGTGTATTTCTTGTGACAAGACCTTTCTTTGAAACCACCAAATTTGACATTTTGACCTTGACCTTGGAGTTTGACTCACTTTTACACAAAAATTCCAAACTTTTACTTTGGCCATATATTTTGAACAGTAAATACCACTGTCCAGGACTTTTTTACTTCATATATGTAATTTTTGTGGAAAGACCTTTCATTGAGTACCAACAACTTTGACCTCTTGACCTTGACCTTGGAGATTTCTGTACTTATGGAAAACTATAACCTTGGCCATAACTTATGAAGGGTAAGGACTAGAGCTTTCATACTTCACTTATGAAATTATTTCAAAAAGACGCTTCATTGAATACCAAGAACCTTGACCCTTTGACATTGACCTTGGAGTTTGACCTGCTTTTAAGATACAACCTTCACCATATTTTTGAAAGGTTAGGATTATGGCTTTCATACTTCACATACTTAATCCTTGTGACAAGACATTTCTTTTGATATCAAGAACCTTGACCCTTGTACCTTGACCTAGGAATTTGACCTACTTTTTACAAACTTGAAAATTGGCCATAACTTTTGAACAGTAAAGGCTAGAGCTTTTATGCTTCACACATGTAATCCTTGTGACAAGACCTCTCATTGAATATCAACAATTTTAACCCTTTGACCTTGACCTTGGAGTTTGACCTAATTTTTACAAACTTTAGCCTTGCATAACTTTTGAACGGTAAGGGTCAGCGCTTTCATACTTCAAAATATGTAATCTTTGAGACAAGGCCTTTCTATAGAAACCAACAACCTTGACCCTTTGACCTTGACCCCGGAGTTTGTCCTACCTTTAAAAACGTTAACCTCGGTCATCACCTTTGAAGAGGTGGAGCTAGGGTTTTATATTTAACATTTGTATTTCTTGTGGAAAAACCTTACTTTAGGTACCAACATATTTGATCTGCATTTTAGAAAGCTTAACCTTCGCTATGTTGCCACAAAGGGGCATCAGTGTTTCACAAATACATCTTGTTTTTTTAACTTTGGTGATTACTTTTGAATGACATATGATGGAGTGTTCATATTTGACATACCATGCCATAAATAATGGGACCTTACCCACGAAGACACAGAAAGCGGGGGACCTCAATTCTTTGAACTTTTTTGTTTCTGAAAGGCATATGCCATTGTCATCATTGTCAAATGTGGGTTCTTTGTCCTATATACAGTTTCGAAGTTAATCCACATATATTAAGACAAATTACTTTAAGTGCTTCGGGAATTTCTCTACATGTATCCATTGTAACAGCTCTTCAATAGGTTGACAATCTGTTGACATTTTCCGTTGAGATTTCATCATGTTGCCTGCGATCTCTTCTATTATTATTATCAGTCAAGTGAATCTAGTTTCAAACCATTCCCCATTTAGCTTATGTTTTCCTCTTTCATTAGCTTCCTTGTAATATCGATAAAATTAACATGTTTCATTCTATTTGCAATTATCTTTGAGAATGTTTCACAGAGTGACATGGAGTGAATGCGCATAGTCAGATTCTGACGGCGTTATCTAAAGAGGACATTTGTCAGGTTTTTCTTTTAGGAAGTGATTATTTTTCTTTCTTTATTTCAATTCTGGTTTGAAATGTTAAAAAAAGAAAAGGCACGATTAATTTCCCAAAAATTATTTTTCATAAATTAAGAAAAATATGGAAATATGTTAATGAAAAATCATTAATGATTTTTTTATGACAAAAATGTAAGACTTTGAAGTGACCTCTTTCTTTTAATAATTTGCATATCTATAGCGTCTGTACGAAAGCCTATAAGGATCAATTTAGAGAGAAAAAAATTAAAAATGCGTTATTACACCTTTTGAAAAGGCGTAATAACGCGAAAAAAGGCGTTATTACGCGTTTCCATTCCAAAAGGCGTTATCATGCCATTTTAAAAGGCGTTATTACGCCTTTCCAAACGCGTTATTACGCCTTTCCAAAGGCGTTATTACGCCTTTCTAAGAGGCCTTATTACGCCTTTCCAAAAGACGTTATTACACCTTTCCAAAAAGCGTTATTACGCCTTTCTAAAAAGCGTTATTACACCTTTCTAAAAGGCGTTATTACGCCTTTCTAAGAGGCCTTATTACGCCTTTCTAAAACGCGTTATTACGCCTTTCCAAAAGGCATTATTACGCCTTTCTAAAAAGCGTTATTACGCCTTTCCAAAAAGCGTTATTACGCCTTTCCAAAAAAGCTATTATCCTTTTTAAATAACCATTATTTTGTATTTAACAGGCCCGTGCTTTTAATAGCCCCCCCCCCACACACACACACACACACACTCCACTGGCCAAATTCTTGGCTGAAATACTCGGTAAAACTTTATTTAAATGCAATAATTTTCCACAGTTTTACATACTGCAACAAAATGTTCAGGAACCAAGAAACCAATAGTTAATTATAATATTTAAACTGTAGCAAGACTTTTCCTCAAAAGTGTGTTTGTTAGGAGGGGTGTTTACCCCAGTCGCGCTCGTATTACTGGCCTACATGAAAAGGAAAAGGAAAAGGCGTTATCTTATGTTAATAAATATATAAAGATTTAATTAAAACCATCTTTATTTATGCAATTCTCTATATTCCTGCACATCTCACTGACAACTGTTTGCATTCGTATTAAGAGAAGGCAACACTCTACTTGTGAAGATCTAGAATATAGGCAGATTTATCTTAGAGGTTTGTTTGCCATGTATTAAAATTTATGTTATTTGAAGATATTTTTCTCTCTTCTTGGAAAAAAAGCAGGCAACTATTTGCATGGGTATAATGAGCAATTGAAATCAATGACCCTTGGTAGAGGTGT